ACTTTTTGAAATTGAATGGCCGTCGAAACGAATTTATGGCCGAAAAAGTCAAACGAAAAAGGACTTGTGGCAGGCGTTTTTTGGAATTGACAAAACTCTCGAGTTTTCCATTATTTTAGCCAAAAAAAGATAATCGACTTTTTAACAAAAAAAATTTTTTTTTGCAGAAATGGATGTGCGGCAGTTTGAAATTGAAAAAAAGCTTTTATTTTAAAATAATATTGTACTAGAGATTAATATTACCCTACCTTGAAAAAAGTAAAACGGAAAATATACTAGAGTTTTGTTGAACATAAGTCAATATTAAAAAGCTCGTAAGTGCTTTAAAAAAGTCTTGTCGTCAATTTGTATTGTGTTCCACGTCAAAATACGACAAGACTTTTCTGAAGCTATAATAAGGAAGTTTAGTTGAGAGATTTTGAAAAAAGAGAGAAACGATAGAGAAAAAATAAGTTTTTACAAATTTTTAAAAATCAAAAAAAGTATTGTCGTTTTTTAACGTAAAACACAATACAAATTGACGACAAAACTTTTTAAACGCCTTAGAATAGCGTTTTATCGCCTTGAGCCGCCTATATTACCCTTTATTTTACTCCATCCCTACCCTACGCTACCCTACCCCACCCTACTCTACCCTACCCTACCCTACCTTACCCTACCCTACCCTACCCTACCCTACCCTACCCTACCCTACCCTACCCTACCCTACCCTACCCTACCCTACCCTACCCTACCCTACCCTACCCTACCCTACCCTACCCTACCCAACCCAACCCTACCCAACTCTTAAACCTCTTGTCATGCCTATACCAACGCCTAAATGCCAAGTATAACATCAAACAGAGCACGATCTTTGCAAAAACAAACGGAAGTGGAGTAGGAAATTGTGGTGTTGAAAAAAGTTTTGCGACAGAAAACGTTCAAAAAAAGCACTTTTACAACATTGGCATTTTAAAACGGGCTAGAATATTCATCTTGACATAGACAAAGATTTGTTAATTAGGAGCGTTGACAAGGTTTTGTATACAAAACATAAAACTTAAACCCCCTCTCCCTTTACTTGTACTATATTTCAGCATTATCACTACATTTTAATATTTAAACTTCCAAAAAACCCGTCATAATGACTTAAAAACTCAACCATTCATCAACTGTTGGCCACAAACGCTACTCTTTAGCCTAGAATAATATAAAAAGCTAAGAGAGATGCTTTGATTTCCGGCATTTGCTCATGAACAAAAATGTTTTATTTGACAGCTGTCTTTAATGGCCATCTTCAGAAGACAAATCGAATTAGGCTCGTAATTGATCATCCTTAACAACAACAACAAGGAAGGGGTTCTTGAAGAGGGGAGAGGGGGGTGGTAAATCTAGAGTAGGGTAGGGCTTTATAGTTTTGTCGCACCTATGTTACTCCAGAATACCCTCTCTTCTTCCCCGGTCATTCACTAAGTCTACAACATTACTCATAGAATGAAATCGCGCGATGACTAAAGGTCACACTGTAAGTAAGTCAAGATTGTTTTGAGAACTATTTCTACACAGACTCATTTCGAAACTTGAAATAAAAATTTAAAAAATCACCAAGTTTTTGAAAATATTTTTGTTACCTAAATATAAAAAGTAACGTAAATTTAAAAAAAATTAATTTGCCCGCCCTTTACGGATAAAAATTGCCAAGTTTTAAAAGTACAAAAAAAAATAAAATAAAAAAATATTACTGTAAAATCAACTTTTTTCGAAAAAAAGCAAGTTTCAAGGGTCAAAATCGGTCTTGATCTCGAAGATTATTGTTTGATCTCAAATTTAATTAACCTTTGTTGTCTTAAACCGCAATTTCAAGTACTTTCTTCTTTCAAAATATTTTTTTTTCCGTTAAAAAATTTAGTTTTCCTCATTATGAAAATTACTATCAACTGAAGTTTTTGTGTCTATTAGCGTCAAAAAAACATTCTTGAACTAAATTTAAAACGAGCCGGGCTAAAAATTAAGAGCGGGCCAACTAAATTTTAAAAATTTTGCAAAAATTACGAACCGTTTATGAACTTTCGGCGTTGGGCATGGGCTTCAAAAATCGGGCCGGCTCTTTTTTATCCCTACATGTGGAAACAGCACTGAACATACCCTACCCTGCATTACCTAACCCTAAATAACCTCATTCGACCTTACCCTGCTTTACCCTAATTTACCCTGTTCTATCCTATCCCACCCTAACAACATGATCTGGCACTGATTTTTACAAACTTCAATTTTTTGAATTTAAAAATTTTTTTTTAAATCCTAACATTCCTTCCGCAAGCCAGGTCAAAAGTCAGCCAGGTTAGAGCCGTTTGGTTTGATAGACTGCAAAGGCTTGATCAAACAAAGAATAATCTGACCCCCCCCCCCTTTAACTCCACGAAATCAATCCCTTGTGGACAAAAGACTTTCCAAACTTTTTCATTTGGCCTCAATGTTGGGAGCGCACGGTGCGACCAAACAAACAAAAGTGCAGAATGGAATTCAGGGAGATGCACTAGGCTGTAAAGTAACGCAAATTTAAAAGAAAGTTTATTTTAAAAAAGTTTTAAATTTCGCATAAACGCGATTTAAAATTGCATTTTTTTTAACTTCTGCACGGTGCAAAACATAAAATGAATTTTTTCTGCGACAAAATAAAAATAGCAAATTTTTAAATAATTTTATGCATTTTAAAAACATTTTCATTAATTTTCATTTTTTTATTTTTTAATTTGCACTGTCCAGCCTATTTTCATAAAAAAACCTCTTTGCACCGTGCAATCAGTTCTCTTTCAATTAAAACTGCATGCTGCAAACACTTTTTTTCACTAAAAAAGCGTTTGCACTGTGCAGGTTTTTTCTTTCACAATTGAAAGTGCACTGTGCAGTCTTTTTTCCCGCCAAAGTTCATTGCACTGTGCAAAAAAAATAATCCACAATATCTTCTTGCACCGTGCAACTTCTTTTTTTCACTAAAAAAATCCTTGCACTGTGCACTCACTCGCCCTCTAATTAAACCTGCACCGTGCAAACCCCAAAAAAAACCCCTTGCACTGTGCAACCCCCGCTTTTCCCCGAAAAAGCCCTTCGCACGGTGCAAAAGCCACTCACCCTTCCCCACAAAACATGCACGGTGCATGTTTCGGCGCGGATGAAAGGCGAATCGAAGGAAGCGATGCATTTTGGAGTGCGGAAGTCGTCGCACCTCAAATCATGTCGCAAGAAATTTGGAGTGCGGCAAGGCCGCATTGACCCGGCCGAAATTGGGTTTTGGACGAAACGAGTTTCGAATTCGCTTGGGATTTGAAATGGCAGACAAACGAACTTGTCGCTCATCTTCACTCAACATCTGCGACAAGTGCGGGGAGCGATGAGGAATTGCGACAAAGTGTGTGGAGATTGTCGACAAATTGTGTCAGAAAGTTCAAAGGAAAAAAGCGATAAATGTTTTGCGACAAAAAGACTGAAAAGCTGCGACAAAACCTTATGCGACAACAGCGACAAATCAATTTGCGGCAAAATTCAACAAAAGACCTGCGACAAATTGAAAAATTGCAACAAAAAATGCAGAAAGCTGCGACAAACAGACTTGCGACAAGTTTCCGCGACACCTTTAACATCTCAAGATCTGCGGTAAACATCTCTCTTCCCCCAGCGACACTGGCAACAAACCTCCACCGAAACTTCCAAATTTGTCGCAAAAAACAAACCGCGACAAACCCCTTCCCCCTTCCCTATTCCCCCTCCCCTCCATGGAATTCCTTCCGCACGGTGCACAAAAGTTTTGGTTGAGGTCAGAGACGGCGACGAGAAGTCGCAAATTGAGGCCACTCAACTCTTGTCGCGGAATGAAGTGCGCGACAATTGGGGACGGGGAGGGGGTGAGGAAGGCGGTGCACTGTGCGGTCGAGCGTTGACGTGAAAACAATTGAAATGAAGATTGCACTGTGCATGGTGCATAAAGATTTTGCACGGTGCAGTTGGGATTTGAATTTTGGGCTGCACAGTGCAAGGTTGTTTTATTGTTGCACCGGGCGGTTCGAATTCGCTTTTTTCGCTGCATGGTGCAAAAAAATTATTTCTTGCACGATGCAATAAAATTGAAATGGAGTGCACAGTGCAATAAAATTTAATAATTCTGCACGGTGCAATCAAAAATAAATTTTTTTGTACAGTGCAATGAAGCAAAGGAAAGCACTGCACTGTGCAGAGGTTAGAGAAGAGAAAACATAACGTAAAAACAAGAAAATTTGAGAAATTAAGGTGCAATCAAGCAAAAATGATCAGAAATTAATGAAATTGAGCTTGCTCTTTAAAAAAAATTTTTTAAAAGCAACAAAAATATAAATTTTGCTTTCATTTTTTGTTTTTTGTATTAAAAATGGCAGTTTGCAATCAAATTTAGTCAAAAAATTAAGAAATACTTTAGCGCCACTAAAAAATTTTGAAAAAAAATGTAAAATACGCCAATTTCTTTATAAAGTTTTGAGAAGATACATTAAAAAACGCAATAAAAAAATTTTTTTTTTAATTTTTAAATTGAAAAAAACATTAAAAACTAAAAAATTTGAATAAAAATTCACAAAGTGTTGACAGAATAAACCTTGTAACGCGGCAAACGGTCGCTTATTTCATGGTTCAGGTCGATTTGAGAGCGGTTTTGAGATAATCCGGACGGTTTCGCGCGACCGTTGCTAAGTGAAAATGGTCAGGTAAACAATTAATGGATTCGGTACACTCGTTTTCACGGGTTTCTGGCTAAATTACATTTCTTTTTGGGTAAAATACGATGTATATTCTCAAGTTGCTCATATTTCGTTTTTGTAAAAAAGTAGGGCTTTGGCGTATTTTACAAACTTCAAAAATTTTAAAATCGCAAAATTTTTTTAAAATTTAATTTTTTATTCAAAATTTAAACACATTTTCATGTTATGTCACAAAATGTTTCATTATGGCTGTCGTATGTACAAGGCAAGGGTGAATGTCGCAAATGACACTTATTACCAATGGAATGTCGTAAAGAAGGCTGTCGCCAGTGCTATGATGATCAATGTCGCTATTACCGCCAAAACCAGTTGATACGCGATGCGTTTCTGGAAAAGGTCAGAAAAGTAATGGCAGTTTAAAAAAAATCGAATTAAAAAAAAAATTTTTTTAGTTTTTAAAATAAAAAAAATTTTTAATTAAATTTAAAAAAAACATTAAAAAAGAAAAAAATGTCAAAAATGGCAATATTACCCCTATAATTTAAAAAAATTCCAGTTTGTTACCTAAAAAATTTTTTTTTTAAATTTAAAATTTTTTTTTAAATTTCGAAAGTTTGAAACTTTCAAATGTTTTACCTCAATTTTCTTGGACCCAATATGAAAATAGTTGGCGTTGTCTTCCTGGATATTGGTAGCCGTCGCCGGTTGACTTTCCTCCAATTCTCGGTCGTTTGGCCTGATTTGGTGTCGCTCTCGGCCTTCAGCCAACATTTTAAATATTCTAGAGGATTTGCAAGGTAAAAAGATACTGAAAAAATCAAGTCATTTAAAATTTGGAAAAAGATGCGACAAAAAATTAAAAAAAACGAAATTTCAAAAAATTTTTGAATTAAAAAAATATTTTAAAATCTACCAGCTCCAAAAAATAAGATTTTTTGACGAAGCCCTAAAAAAATATAGTTTTGAACCGCCCTTTCAACAAAACGTGCCAAATGTCTACCCCCTCCCCACCTAAAAATTAAAAAATTAAAAAACCCACCCCCCCTCTAAAAAAGATTTTTTGTCTAACCCGTGAAAAAAAATATTTTTTTAACTACCCCCGTGAACAAAAATTGCCTAATTTTTACTCTCCCTCTTAAAAAAATCAATAAATTACAAAAACCGCCCCTCCTCTGACTAGAAATACCAAAGTTCTACCCCCCCCCCCCCCTTCTTCAAAAAAGAACAAGAAAAACAAAAAAAAACCCACCCCCTAACTAAAAATGCCAAACTTTTTCATACCCCTCCCTATAACATTAAAAAATTGAAAAAACCACTTCCACCCCCCCCCCAAAAAAATGTCAAAAACATTGAAGCAACCCCTTAAAAACAATCAAAAACTACCCAAACCCATAACTTGTTGGCCTTTATGAGATAGTAAAACCAAAAACATTGTGGAAGGAAATCGAAAAACATGTGGTATGTTGCTATGTGTTACGAAAACAAGTTACAGCGACAAAAAACATTTCTTATTTTGAGGCTTTTGGACGTATAAACAACATCAAAACACAATTTTTGACGCTTTTCAATATCTTTTTTGAAATTTAAAAGTGAAAAAAAAGTTCTTCAAGGTTCAGATAATTCTGTGCTCCTCTATATAAAATCATTTTTTTTAAATAAGTGGGCGCAGAACTATTTGAACAACCAAATGAATCATTAAAATTCAATATAAATTTTAAAATACAGTGGAACTCCTGTATAACGAACTCCTCTATAACGAAACTCCCGTATAACGAACAGCTTTTGAATCCCCGTCTACCACTACACAGTGCATTTAAAACTCCTGTATAACGAAACTCCTTTATAACGAACTAATTTCAAGTCCCCGAGCGATTCGTTATACAGGAGTTCCACTGTATTAGGTTGTGTAAATAATTCTGTGCTCTCTATCAAAGCATTTTTTGGGATCGGAGAGCTCAGAACTATTTGAACAATCATAGAACTCTTAAAATTCATTAAAAATTGAAAAAAAACACAAATATTTTAATTGCCGAACCAATTTAAACACATTTTTTATTTTAAAAACATAGTTTTTATACAGCGAAGAATTTTGATGCCACGTAGTGTTACAAAAACAATATTATTTTAGGTAACATTTAACGTTTAAACCAACATTTTTGCCCAAAAACCATTATTTCTGTCAATTTCAATACCTAGAACTATCGAAAGTTGCGTTTTTCCTCCAAAAAAACTTTTAAAAGTGTTAGTTCAACCCGCAAAATCTTTAAAAACGGCCCTTACATACCTGTAATTTCCCTTTCATACCTAAAATCTATCAAAATTTTCAAAAAAATATTAAAAACGACTCGAAACGACCTTTGCCCCCATGGTTAATATCGAAATTCCGCGGGAATTGATATGTAAAACCATTTGTTTTTACTTTGAAATGAATAAACATTGAGAGGAACGTCCATGAAAAGCTACCAAGTGTAATTTGTTTATTTCGAAACAACTCAAGACTCTCGAGCTTTGTTTTTCTATTTTTAAATTTATGGGAAAAACAAGTAAACAACCCGGAGTTTAGGCTTAAATTCAATTTATTTTAGTTTAAAATGGGTAACATTAGTTTTAAATTTGGGGAAAATGATTAAAATTTAAGTTTTGGTTGAATTTTGTTACTTAAATTTAAAAAAAATTTTTCTTAAAATAAAAACAAATGCTACCTAAATTAAAAAAAATGTTTTAGCTTAAATAAAACAATTTTGTTACCTAAAATAAAAAACAATAATTATGTAGATTTAAAAAATTTTTTTTACTTAAATTTAAAGAAAATTTGTTACCTAAAATTTTAAAAACGTTTTAAAATGCATTTTATTGATATAAATAAATATATTACGTTGCTCAACAATTTCTGAGCCTCTTCTCAAAACAAATTTTTGGTAGTTCAGAATTATTTGAACAACCTAATAAAGACGAAAAAAGAAGAATCATAACTGTAAAAAATCCAATTTTATAACAAAGCTTTATAAATTGTCGCAAAACATCAAAAAAAGGGAAAAATTAAAAAAATCTATTTAAAAATTTGAAAATAATTTTAAAATCTAAAAATTCCGAGAATTCTTTACAATATTATCCTCAAAAACAGGAAACCCTTGAGGTTAACCTCACAAAAGTCAGCTGGTTAAACAGACCATCCCTCTTGTAAAAGGCTTTCTTTCTCTAACCATCGCGAAAACAATTCCCTCCGTGACTCACATTCAAATAAGCTTTGGTTTGATTGCAAGGGCATACAAACATGTTATGATGAAAGAACACATACTTTCTAATATTCTTTACAACTTTTACAAGAAAAGGTTAGTAACCGCCATAGCTTTTTTCCTAACAATAGTACCAGTCCTAGCCCTTTCAACTGTACTACAACTACTTCTAGCAAAAGTAACAGCCTTAATCGTAGAAATAGTGTTATCACGACCTTTAGCAAAAGTATCAGCCCTAGTGCTGTCAACAGTACCAGCTCTACTCTTAACAATAGCATCAGCCTTAGCCCTTGCAACAGTATCAGCCAGTCATATCTTTGAAAATAATACCAGTCCTAGAATTTTTAAGAGTATCAGCCCTAACCTTTGCAACAGTACTAGTTCTAGCAACTGTACCAACATATTACTAGCAATAGTACCAGTCTTAGTTCTTGCGACAGTACCAGCCTTACCTTTTGACGGTACTAGCTTTAACCCCTAATAATAGTACTAGTCCCAGCCTTTTCAAGAGTTCCAGCCCTAGCCCGCCCTCACTCTAGCCTTAGCACTTATACCAGCGCTCACAATAGTACCAGAGCTAGCAATAGTACCCCGCTAGCAATAGTACAAGCCCTAGAAATAGTATTAGCCCTGGCTATAGCTATCAAACAAATCCAATAAAAGATCAAGTTGCCTAGTTTATTGTCCCTATAACAGCTGAAATCAATGTAATTCCTGAAATTCCAAATCGACAGTTATTTCTTGGTTTCGTTAGACAGAGCTGCCAACGACTGATAGTTATTCGTAGATGGTGCTGTTGGTACGTGCATTAAAAGGTTTGGATTTCTGTCGGCGACGATTGGGATGTCCTGGGAGTCTTCTTGGAATTTGATTCGATTGGTCTTTGGAGACTTGGCACTGGAATGAAAATAGTTAAACATTATTAGGTTGTTCAAAAAGTAATGAGCTATTCTCACAGCGTCTTTTTAAAAAATCTTCATTTGAGTTTTTGACATTTTGTAAAAAATCGATATGTGATATTTCGTCAACTTAAAGGACCAGTTCGCCCATTCAAATATCATTGGCATTCTGTCGCAAAAAGCGTCGAAAATCAGGCAATTTCAATCAAAATCATTTTTCTGAAAAAACGTGAGTGGGTCGGTGTCGAAATGAATTTTCCAATTTGGGACCGACCTGCTCAAGTTTTTTGCGAAAAAATGAACGTCGAATTTTTGCGACAGAATGCCAATGATATTTGAATGGGCGAACTGGTCCTTTAAAATCAAAATTCCATAACTTACTCAGTCTTGAGTGCACTCTTCTTCGGCTTCATGTCTGGATGCTTCTTCAACCTCGCTTCCTCCTTTCTACATATCTCGATCACATCAGGTGCCAACCCCAGATCCAAATCAGTACTGGCCGATACCAATGCCGCTCTCACCGCCGCCTTCTGCACCAAGTCCTCAGGTTGTTCCACCAACAATGTCACGTACGCACGCGACTTGAGGCCGCTTGTAATCAGCTCGGACGCTTCTTTGCTCGAGGAGATTGGTGTTTTGTTAACGTCAAGGATAACATCGCCACAGCTCAATGACATCGATGATATCGTGAACTCGTGCACATTGCACACGTAGACTTTGCCGTCGGCAGTACGACAAGTGAGGCCAACTTTGAGTCCTATTATCGAGTAGAGAATGACCACTTTGTAGGTATAGCCTTCTTGTTTGAGTTCGTCTTTCAGACGGCCTTCTTCGACCGGTTGGGTTAGTACGGGGCGGATCAGCTCTAATTCGGCCTGAAAAGCGACGTTTTATGATTTTAAAGTTTAAACACGGGTTGTTAGATAACAACTTAAAATTTTTTTGTCAAAAAATTCAAATTTTATAATGTTAGGTATAAACTTTAAAATTTTTAATATTTTTAAATTTTTAAAAAACCAAAAAAAATTTAAAAATTAAAAAACTTACAGAAAAATCAGCCTTTTGCATGGCTTTGAAGGCTTTGAGAAACTTGTCAGCGTCTGCCCTCCCTAAAAATTAAATTTAAAAAAACGAAATTGAAAAAAGGTTGAACTACAGTACGTATGGTGAAGTTACAGTACTTAAAACAACCTATAAAAACACTTTTTTTAAAGAAAAATTTACCATTGACCACCAGCGGTTCGCCGTTCATTTTCCTCAGGGCATCACCATATCTGAATACGCATTCGCTTGCTCCACCGCTATCCAGTCTTGAAACTACTAAATTCCAAAACCGACAACCTAACTGAAATTTTTTTTCCAAAATTAAAAAAATACTTACAGGTTGTCCCTTGGTTCCTTTCAGCGTCACAGTCACAGTCTCACACCAGTTGGCCGGAAGCTTTTTACCGTATGGTGATTGATCGTCAAAGAAAAGGCTTGAATCTACAGTTTTCTCAGCTTTTGCCATTTTTCCTCACAATAAACCAACCCGATATTTGAAAGTAAAAATGAGAAAGTGTTGGTTTTGGACTTGGAAATTAGAAACGCATAAACTTTAGAAAAATCAAAATTTTTTAAAATTTTTTAATAAGTTTTTCTTTTCTTTAAAGTTTTACTTTGCTTAGTAATTGCGACCAATACGCAGCGTGGAAAAGAAAGAGTCACGCCAACGTAATGCACCAACAGCACCAGAAATTAACCCTGGACGTTTTGCTTACAGCCAATGAGATTGTGCTGGGGACTTTGATGATGATGACAATGATGGAACGTCGCCGTGCTACTTCTTTTCTAACAGAAAAAAAAACAAAAATGATGAATGTCACCAGAAACTGGCTTTTGGAGGACACATTTACGTGCAAGGTCTATTTAATTTAATTTTTTAACTTTTGGCAATTGTTTTTGTTTATAATTGAATAAATATTGGGTTAATTTACCCATTTTAGAAAAAAAGAAGTTATTGTGGACATGTTATCGTAAAATACGTTGAGCTTTCTAGTGTCGTCGATGGAGTGGTGGTATCTGAAACAACCGAATACAGCCAATTCTTTTCACCAAGCATAGCCAAAATCAAAGCTGAGCTTTTGAAGTCTGAAATTTACGGAGATGCGGCCAATTCTACAATTGCCTCTTGAGGTTTAATTGGAAAAGAAGTACAAAAGACCTCTGATCCAGGCGTTTTGAATCAGCTTTCCGGTAATAGTGAATGGAAGGAAAAATTAACCTTATCAGACAGCGACTCGGTGCTTCAGTTTTGAGATACGTCAATCCACGATCCTTAGCTAACGTTGAAATTTCTGATGAACTTGCTTACATAACAAGAAACGATGGGTGCACCAAGTTTTTGCAGTACATTTTACATTCTGAGGATGCTGACCGCTTTATGGTCTTCTACACAAAATCCCTTAAGTCCCTGTTGGCCAATTGTAATGTATGGGGAATTGGTTCAATATTATCTTTAACTCTAACGTCCTTCTCAAAGGTAAGTTTTTTGATTTGTCTTCTAAAGTTTAGGATTATATTAGCTGTCCTTATAAATAATTTGATATGACTTTTGAACTGCAGACCGTTTTTTGCATCAATGCTTCTTCCTTATTGTAAAGTTTCGTAAAATTGTAAACATGTCACCCAGACATTCTTACGGGAACTAAATTAGCATATCTATAAAACTTCCGTAAACACATTTCAAAATCACTTTTACTTAATTTGTCCTCAATCAAATACCACAGTAATTGATTCAACTAACCTGCAACTGTTTCTATTTTTGTCGCATCGCAAAAGCCATCGCATTCCATGGCTATAGCAAACGTGACTCTTCTCAATTATCATAGTATTTACCGTGCTGTGCTTGGTAGAGTCTGTCGCATAATTTAAGGGATTCCTTGATCTATATTCATATTTTCTGTCATTGAATTTGTCTTTGATTTATTTATGTTTTTGATTAATGAATGTAAGAATTTTATGGTCAAAGGAATGTCTTGTTTTACTGCGACTATAAAAGGAGGGAGGGTATTGAGGTTGACATTATAGACAATTGTATATTGTTATACTTAGAGTTTTAAATTTACAATTTCAACTTTAGAGTACCAATAATATTGTTATACTCTAATTATAAAGTTATCCAACTTACTGTTTGTTATAACAGTCTTGGTACTAAATACTATAACATATAGTACTAAGGAAGCTATTTGTTAAATACTGTAATAATGATTGGTGGAAGTCTACGAAGCAACAAATCGACTAAATCAAGAATTGTAAGAAGGAAAAGTGTCGAAGAATGTGAATTTGATGACATTCGAACAGCACAAGCTTTGAATTCATGTGGTTTATGGGTCTGCGATCAAGAGGTAATTAGAGGTTTGAAAGCTGTGAGGTATAGGCAAACAAGGGATAAATTATATTAAGAATAGGGAGGAGGGGGGGAGGGGGGGGGGGGGACCTAGGACCGTGCTAGGCTGGGCCGAAGCTAGGCATTGTGCTACTATTTTATTTCTATATTAAGCAACAATTTAGAACAGGCGTATGTTACAAAAAATAGTACTAAAGACATCATTTCAGACAGTCGAATACAGAATGCGTCGTTTCCGCCGTCATTTGCTTCGAAAACTGTCGTCAAACTCAATGGACCCTGAGGAAATGAGTTTGGAAATGAAAAAGTTTTGCATCAGTTTGTGTTTGCGACACAACATTCACCTGGATTGGCATTTGGAAAAGCCGAGTTTATTGAGTGTCAAGAAGATCAAAAGGAAAAATTTATTTAAAATCTTGTCGCTGCGACGATTTGGCCGCAAAAGTATTTGAAAAGTTAGGTTTTAGATTTAAAAGTGATATTTTAGGTTTACTATTAGGTTGTTCAAATAATTCTGAGCCTTCTAACCCTAAGAATTTATTTTGAGAGGGAGCTGAGAATTATTTGAACAACCTATTAGTTGGTAGATAATAAAATTTTATATCACGCCATTCTTTATGCATCAAAAAATAAAACACCTAGTTAATGATGATAAGAATAGCTATATCGTAACTTTACTTACCAGTAAATCTAAAAAACTATCACAAATTTTGTCTACTGTATTTACAGTAACTCATGTATGTCATACTGTATCTACAGTAACCCATCACAATAGGATAACTTATGTAAACCGTAAGAATCTCATGTTTTGTGTTTTATATTGTACTACTATACTTTGTATTGATTTTATTAGCTTTTACTTTACTGTAAAATAAAGTTTTTAGTATTTAAAAATGTACTGTAATGTAATGTATATACTGTAACGTTTTGGCCATATATACTGTAATACAAACTCTAAAAATAAAGTTTATTTACCGCCAGTAAACTCAGAAACTTTTCGAATGAATTTCTTTTGTTTTACCGACAACCCACTTGCCCTTACTATGGTATAATCATCGTATACAACTTTAAACATGAATGACGTTAAGATAATGTAAATGAACATGAAACATGCAGTAAAAAACTGGAAAGATGGGGAGTTTTGAATTCCTCTGTTGATTGATGTCATGGTCTTTGTACTGTTGAAGGTGGGAGTATAGAGATTGGTAGGGAATCTACTTTCTGTCAAATCAATGAAACCAACTGTCATACATGACACACTGCCTACTAGATAGGTTGGTAAGCGGACCATCTGGAAATGGATAAAATTTTAAAACTTACAGTACCCTATTCACCACTCCCTGTCCCCCCTCCCCCCCCCCAAAGGCCGCTAATCGTAAGCACAGTAGGCACTATAGCACTTCTCAAAAAATTTTTCTTCATAATTATTATATATACGAAGCAAAAAGTATTTCTTACCGCCCATATCATGTAAGGAATGTACAATATCCATATCCTGAACAATACTCCGAAGAACAATTGCATACCGCAAAATAAAAATATACATTCGACGTACATCATTGAACGTTGGACACTTACTAAAACAATATCTGATGTATATTATATTATACAGAAAAGCCTGATTAAAATTTATTTTAATTAGATTGTTCAGAAAGTTTTAAGCCAAAAAAAATTTTTAAATTTAAAATTTTTTTGGTGTATAGAAGCTGCTTATGCAGAAACTCCAACTGTATATTCAATATTTTTATAAAAATCATATTACCTGGCAAGAAAAAGTAAAATTTATATCCTTGTTTACCCATTGATTCGTAATCTAAAAAAATGTAACTTTTTAGTTATAACAATAAAATCTCGATTAAGAAAATAAAATATTAGGTTTTTCACTTAATTCTGCGCCCCTTCTCAAAGCTAATTTGCGCGGTACGGGGGCGCAGAATTATGTGAACAACCTAAAATAAATCGAACCTAAGGACGTATCCACGGTAAACTTACAATTACTGTCAGTATAATAATCTACAAACAAGTAAATCCAAGCCAATGCCCCGAATATTGTTGTAGCTAACGACACACATAGTGTTGTTATCTTAAAAATGAATTTATATTTTAAGATAATCTTAACACAATGAAATTTACCTTTTGATTAGTATCACTACTCATAGCTGTGTTTGTTTACGACCTTTATCATTAGCCAAACGTACAAATACGAAGGCAATGTTTGAACTTGTTCATTCCGAAACAATTTCCTCGTCTTCGAAAACGAGCTGATTCACGGTGGAAACAGCGAAAGACGTGTAACATATTTTATAGTTATAAAAGTAAAAAAAGTCCTTTTTGTCTCACATTAGTTTTGTAATGTTATATTATACGGTGTCTGTACAACGAAACCATCAAAAATTTTAAAATTGTTTGCTACATAGGGGTTTCGGTATACATGAGCTTTAAATGCAGTGTGTTGCGTTGACCAAAGGTTTGAAAGTTGTTCGTTATACGGACGTTTTGTTATAGAGAAGTTCGTTTTACAGGAGTTCCACTATAGTGCGCACTGTATTATATTATACTTGTTCTAATAAACATGTTTTTGTAATATTTTAGTTAAGCTATTTTTTCAATGTTATGTTCTATTTTTTTAATTACAGTGAAACCTCCGCACAAGGAACCCCTATATAACAAACCTCTTGTATAACGAACAACTTTTGAATCCCCTGTTATCATTACACAGTGCATTTTAAACCTTTCTATAAAGAAACCTTCTCATAACGAACGAATTTTAATTCGCCAAGCGATTCTTTATACGAAGTTTCCACTGTATTTGTTTTCTTTACTACACTCTACACTAATCTATCCTACCCTAACCTACTCTACTTTACCCTACTCTATATTACTCTAACTACCCTAGTCTAATCTCTTCTAATCTCATCTATCCTACAAAACATACTTACGCTATCTTTTCATTCAATGGTCATCTTTTACCCTATCCCTCCTAATTAGTAGTTTAATAAATAGTCGTGCCGTATTTTACTTTAACTATAAATTAGTTGAAATCGTCAAAATTTTCAAAATTTTACTTCATATATATTTATTTTTGACTTTTAAATTTTTACAAAAAAGAAATAATGGCAATTCGTATACTTCTTGTACTATACAATAATGTTACCTTTTTCCAAGATGAATTTTACAAAATATTTCAAAAACCTGAGATTTTAACTGCGTAGCATTATATTATGTTATATCATCAACAGGGCGGGGTAGGGCATGGTAAGTAGAAAGAATAGCCCGTACCGTGCAATGATCCTCGTTAATATATCATAATATGTATGTATATGTCTAAAAACTGGATAAAAAATATTTACAAAAAACTTTATCAGAATAAAAAGTCAGAAGATTGAGCACAATATTACTACAAGTTCTAAACAACATTACTATACGTTCTAAACAATTTTACTGTACGTACAAAACAAAAAAACAAAGATACCTAAGAATTAAGTATGTCAAGTTAAATTTTAAATTGTTAAATCTTCAAAAAATCAAAATTAAAGCCAGTTCTACGCCCCTAGCGATCAATAACTCAAAAACGTTCTAGTCTGCCCAGAAACCAAGCTAGGCTGATATCCAGGAGAATATTGCTGTGGCGACGGTCTTTGTGCTGGAATAGTCGTACTCATCGCTGCATTCCTAGCCATATGATAATTATATTCAGCTGGTGACATTAACCTTCCATCTGAACCCAACACATACTTGGCTTGATCTATCGATGATGAGTTGTTATTGTTGTTGGAATCGGTGAAGAATAAGGGATACGATGCGGCGAATAGAGCCGAAAACATGGCAAATAAGAGTATCGTACCACCTAGAAAGGCTAGGTAGAAAGAATAGCCAAAGTGTTTTTCGAAAGTGTTTTTGATGCCGATTAGGTAACGAGATTCCAGCATTTCACCGTTTATCATGAAGACGGCCAAGCCAATTCCTTCGATCAGTACTAAAATTTAAAATTTGAAAGTGAATTCAGTATATTATTGTTCTATCATAGCCTTACTGAACCGTACTTTATAATATCATGCATTTACCTACCCTACCCTAACTCAGCTCTACTCTACTCTACTACCTTATTCTATACTACTGTGCCCCACTCCACTATAATCTATCCAACCCTAACCCAATACGTTTATCCTGCCCTACCTTGTTTTGCCCTACCCTGCTTCATTTTACTAAACTCTCCCTCCCCTTCCGTATTCTGCCTAATCTCCATTACCTTATCGTTCCATACCTTGCTCCCTTTTAGCCTACCAACACCCTCTAATTTCAGAATCTTGTTTTATAGCCGATATCAATAAAACCTACCAGCCAACGCCAACAAGCTAACAACAACAATGTTGAAGGTTTTGCTCCAGCTTCGTTTAAAATGAGCATAAGCCCCAACACATAATGCCAAAAACGTAGCAACTACGGTAATTACCATAAGGATCAGAACAGCATAATGCCACCCGAAAAAGTAGGGTGTTCTCAGCAATTTTTTGCGACAGTCGCCAATCAAGAAAAAGCGACAAATATCAGCACGTTCGTAGTAGTTGATCAGATCGTCTGAGAAGATATACCAACATGCTTGACCACCTTGACAATACTGCCACAGGCCGGATTGGACATCACGGTGGGCGTCTAGGTCTTCTGCTACCTAAAATCAATGTTGATATTTAAATTTCATAGAAGAAGAAGACAAAAAAGAAAATTTTTTTTTCGAAGTTGGCTATGACACTACTTTACTGAGGAAAATCACTGTTTACATTTGGTAAAACGCTGTGTGTTATAATGTTCGTACAATAAAATAACCATAAAATTACTAATTGTATGTTTGTGTTTTTTCTACTCTAACAAACACAGTAAAAAACAACATGTTTATTTTGAGTCACATGATGTTGACTCTTACTTCAAAAGTCAAATTAGACAAAGTTTTTCAAAAAAGTTTAAATTAAATTATACCTACAACAACTTATTTTAGCTTGAATTACATAAAAAGAAAATAAAAAAGTACCTGATGTTATTAGGTTGAACCAAAAGTAGCGGGACACGTTCCATATATTTTAAAATTAAAAAGTGTCCAGCTACTTTTGCTTCAATCTATGATCAACATATAAGCCTACACACCAAATTCTTGATAAACAGTCTTTTTATTAGATTGTTCAAATAATTCTGAGCCCCCTATACCCAAAAATTTGTTTTGCCGGGAAGCACGGAATTATTTGAACAACCTAAAAACACAGTTATTTTGTCATTACAACCTGTATAATAACAAGATTATTTTATCATTTGTAACCCTTCTTCTAACAGTAAACAAAGATCCGTATTTTACAAAATCAATGTTTTGATCAAATTTTCAAAAAACATCAACTTACATGCCAATTGGGTGTGATTAAAGCAATAAAATTAAAAAATAATGACGCTCCAGCTAATACAAACGTTCCTAATTCGATTTTTGACAACGGCTTGCTAAAGTCCAGAGGCATTTTAACCTTAAATTTTTGAAAATTACGAATAAAAATCGTTTTAAAATTAATAAAATTAAAACATTTTTGTTTTAAACACGATTAAAATGCGTTTTACAGCCTAAAGGGATTTCAGCTAGCTCATATAACTAAGATTTTTTGATATTCCCTTCCCTACATTTTTCTGATCTACCCCGCCCTTTGTTACACTACTGTGCCATGCCCTACCACAATCTACCCCAATCGTACCTCACTTTGTTTTTTCTACCCTACTCTACCCTACTCTACCCTATCCTACCCTACCCTATCCTACCCTACCCTACCCTACCCTACCCTACCCTACCCTACCCTACCCTACCCTACCCTACCCTACCCTACCCTACCCTACCCTACCCTACCCTACCCTACCTTACCCTACCCTACCCTACCCTACCCTACCTCTCTCTGTCTGACCCTGTCTCACTCCACGCTGCTTTATTCTACCTTATACAAGCCTGTTGTGCCCTAGCACACTATATTTTGGGATACCATGCCCTGCTCTACCCTATTTTACGCTCCTTTACTTCACCCTACTCCGTTTTACCCTAGCCCACCCTAATTGACTCTACCCTACTATATTTTACAATAGCGTGCGCTGCCCCATCCTGACTACCCCACCCTACTTTACCTTACCTAACCTCGCAAAAATTTTAAATTAAAAAAAAATTAAAGAAATTTGAAAAATCCGCGCAGAAATTTGCGTAATTCCAGAAAAAAGACGACAAAAGTAAGAACCTGAGTAGCTTGAGTCGAAATAATTCCGCTCTTCAGCCGGCTACAAGGCATTTCTCTCAACGCCCAAGGACGTTCGCTGTCGCTGAAGAAAAAAAGGTAATAAAACGAAAAAAGGTGACGAGACTCCCGCCTTTGATTATGAGCTTGATTATGAGGTGTGGAGGTAAAATACGAATAATAAAAACTGTATAAAGCTATGCCTAACCTGAAAAGGGCCCGCAGGGACCGGGTCGGGCTTATTGGTGCAGTGGAACTTCTGTATCACGGCTTGCTCAAGTTGCGTATTATACAGAACTTTTGTTATAGAAGGGTTTGTTATACAGTAGTTCCAGTTTCTTTTAATTATTGCAATATAATATACTCTATTATTGCAATATAATATACTCGTTATACAGGTGAAACTCCTGTATAACGAAAATCCCGTATAACGAACAACTTTTGAATCCCCGTCTACCACTACACAGTGCATTTAAAACTCCTGTATAACGAAAGTCCTTTATAACGAACAAATTTCAATTCCCCGAGCGATTCGTTATACAGAATTTACACTGTACATATTATGTAATATATAATATATTATGTTGTTGTAGTCAAAACGCGCAAAACTTTCAACGCTCCATATTATAGTGAATAATATAAACGGGCGCTCCATGAATAACCGTTGTAAAAAACTGAGTGAATAAAAAACGGAAAAATCAAAAATTTACGGATACCTACAATAAAAAGCAAATATTATATGTAAAAAGCTTTGGTTTAGTCTTACTAGAAAAAAAAAGAAAAGAGGGGAAGAAGAAAGTGCAGTTGCACAGTGCAATATCAAGGAAAGATCTGACTTTTATAGATAGACGGAACGGTACTAGACCTGAATAGCGCCCCTCTAGGTGCGACTCGGCCTCGCCCTGGTCTCGGGGTCTCCTGAAACAAATTTGGAAGGGACCAAGCCGGCATATTTGGATCCAAGAGCCGCTGCCCAAATCAAGGCCTCAGGGGCCCGTTTACCAATTTTTGAATTTTTTTAAAGGTTCTAAATTTTTAAAAAAGCCGACACACGTGAGTCCAAAAGCCAGACACAAACTAAGGCCAATCTGGTCCCTTTACTCTTCTATTCAGTACTTCTTTCCTCACATACGGTCCCAACCAAACGCGTAAATTAATACCATAACCCTAAAACACTAACTTATGACAAACTCAAACAGCCCCCCAAAGCAAAATTTTAAAAACCATATAAAACAAGAACCAAAAACCCCCAAAATCCACTTTTCACGTAATTTCGCTGCGCTTGAAACCTTTGAAATTTGCATATTCGAGTAGCGGATTGAAGCGGAAGCTCCCGGAGGGCAAATAACACCGCTGCGTTTAGGAAAATGCAAAAAACGGGTTTCCATGGTGTTGCGCATTAAATTGAATGACTGCACATTATTACAGTAATTGTTTCCTTTAAGTAGTATTTATGAACATAGCTACAGACCTGAGACAACATACGATAAGACATAGACCAACATACGATAACATACATATACATAGCTACTAACATAAGACAATCAATAATATGTTTTAAGTTGTTCAAATAATTATGTGCCCTCTCTCAAAGCAAATTATTGGTGTTATAAGGCACAGAATTATTTGAGCAACCTAATATGTGAAAATCGAACGTAGCCCCATGTTTTCAAAATTAGAATTCAATTTTAGTAAAGACAACATCGCAGAATAATATTGTTATAGGTATACAAACCAACTATAACATCATATATCATGTTAGGGCCTTCTTTATTAGCCGAAACCAACCCAAAGTCAGTGAAACCCTTTGTTTAACAACATCATATGTACATCTATATACACCACACATAACATTTAAAGTCTATAAGCTTAAACTGAAGAACCGTGACCATCATCTTGAAGACAGGTCTGTCACGTTGAAGACTCAGAATCAGAAAGCGACAAAGATCCAGTGGTGGACCTCACATGTAGTTTCTTGGAATTCCTTAACTTTCTTCTGATATCTCTCAGTACTTCACGGTAATACTTATAGTATCGCTTTCTTAGTCCAGTCGTACTCAAAGTAAAGGAGTTTAGTTCATATGTCATGGTGAATATAACAAACAAAAAACAGAGGGCTACGCACCATTCTAACATCGTCTTTATAATTTGCTTTGCTCGTTCCTGAAAATCATAAAATTAAAAAATATTTTTTTTTAATTTAATTTAAAAAATTCAAATTTTCAAAAAATTTTAAATTTTAAAATTTAAAAAACCTTACTTTAGACCCCCAAGGGTACCTTTCAATGTCATGTTCACTAAAATAAGGTTTTGGCACGGTACTGTTATTCGGAAAAGATTCTGGAGTCAGTGACGCTATTCCACCAAAAAAAGCTACCGTGCAGATGATTACAAAGGCCAGCCTCGTGAGTGTCAGCCATCGCGGAGAATATTGAGGCTTCAGAAAGCAGGTATTTAAAAGAAACATCCAGATATAGAACACACCGCCTACAAACGCAAAGAAGGCTCCTACGTAGTGAAGATCGATCAATGTTACCTCCTAAAATGTGATATCAAGGTTTATGTACCTTTTTAAGTAAAAATAATTAAAATAGTAACAGTATAAAGTCAGTAAAAGTAAAAAATACTTACCTGATAACATCCGACCATCACAACCCCAAGACCACTCATTATCCCAACTGTATCCATAATGTAGATGCTTATACGTTTCTTCATCGAAATGTAATGTTTGTTGTACGATCGTATGTGCATATTTATTCGTATGTGAATGGCAAAGACAGTAAAAATCCCTAAAAAAGATTAAGGCTTTGAACGGCTGTTAGCTTACTGCAAAAATCTAGTACAACATCCAAAAAAGACAATATTTTAGGTATGTTTTAAGATTTTTAGTTGCTACACTAAAGTTATTAAAATTGATACGATTTACAATGGTTTTTTAACTTTAAAATAGCCTTTGACATTTAAAAACAACATAGATTCCAAGAAATTCCGATTAAAAAGCACCTAAAAACTCAAAAACGTAAACAATACCTACAACAATATCCTCCAATTGAAAGAAAAAACCCAAAAATGTTGGCTTCTGGTGAAAACGCTCCGCCGTCACTAAAATTACATAATTACAAAGCTATCAACCATCATTTTTTACATATTACTCATGCATTTTGCAAATGAAAAACTATTTCGCCAAAGTGTTACCTAAAATCTAAAATTTTGAAATCTCAAACCGAAAAAAAAAGAAAATTGCAAAATAAAAGCACCAACCTAATAAACGGCAAAAACCAGTCTGTCCGTTGTTGAAATGCAGCCAAAAAATAGCCAGTAAGAAAGGCGATAAGCGACGTTATCACGGTCATTACCGAGAACACTTTCGGATATACTCTAACATGAGGTCGCGCTCGTACCGGTCGTCGGCGCGTCTTCACGGTCTTCGATACGGCTATGGTCGATTCAGTACTGGTCGTATGTGTTCGGCTTTCACTGGTCGACAATCGCATAAACGCCAGAAAATGGTCGGACGACACGGACCTGGTCGTCATCGTCGACCGGTCGGGAAAAGTGTACAAAGTAAAAGTAACATGTTTTTGGTGGTCATAAGATTTTTAGAATTTTTGAAGGAGCTTATCTTCACGTTTTTGACGTGAATTTTGCAAATAATACCTACTTTTTTATAATACATGTTTCGTCGTATAAAACGTCTTTCTTTTCAAAAGCAAGCGCGGGCGCCGCTGCGGACACGATTTTTGCCAAGTTTTTTGAGAAAAAATAGAAAAAGCAGTCCAGATAAAGATGGCGAAGGTGGAGAAGCTTCTAAAGCGTCTAAAGTTTGCTGAAGATGAAGGCAATCACTACGAGAGCCATCAAATTGCTAGAACTATATATTATAGATGGCTGGAGCTGAAGGAACACGAGAAATTGGCCGATTTCTTGTTTGAGAAAGCTGTAAAATTCCAAAAAGGTATATAATTTCCTTGTTTAATATCTATTTACATCTTTTAGAGCTTCTTGAAGGTTTATTTTAGTCTTTTTATATTAGTTTTAAAGCATACTGTTTTAGCTGGTCAATCAGCTATTGCTCTGGATTTGGCTGAGCTATATGCCGGAACATTGAGCGAATGGGGATGTTCGGTAGATGAAAAGAGAGTTGAACAAATTGCTGAGGTTTGATGCTATTTTTTATTTTGTGTTTTTAGGGTATTGTTTATAGCAAACGTCAAAAATGAGGGGCTTATCTGTTCTTTTTGTTATAACTTCTTTAGAACGGCAGCAAGAGGCTTAAACTTTATTTTTCTAGCTGCTCAACTCGATTCCGGACGAGTTAGATACAGAATCAGGGAACAAGGACCGTCGTGCTGATCTATTCACGAAGTTTATCGACTGGTCTTGTAAACATGCGGATTCGTCGCAAATTATTCAAAAGTTTGGGCATCCGAAGATCCACGAGGTCATTGCTGAATCTTCACAGAACGTGGGACGATATGACGTTGCGAAACAGCACTTTGTGGTTTCTATATCGCCAGAAAAATTGGCAAAAGCTGTAAAAGTTATCATAGACAATACTGATGAGGGAAGCGAATCATTGCCTTCGGATTTCTTTATCACAGCGACAGCGTTACAGGTAAATTGATGTTTCAATTGTTTTGTTTTGTTTTTAGGCATGGTTTTTGCTTGTAAAATACGGAAGGCGTATCAATAACTGCAAGGTTTATTAAACATTATTTTACAATTGTTAGGTTAGGCTTTGCATAAATCTGACTAAAACTCTAAGTATTTATTATTATATCTAGGTAGCAGTTACGGGACGAATTGGAGTGGCAACAAAATTTTTGTTAGAAGTTGTTTCCGAATATAAGAATTACAATGATCATCCTCCCTTCAGGTCGGCTGCTTTGAACTTTTGTTGGTTATGTTTGATTACTCTGCATTTGAGAAGTGTGAGTTTGGCAAATGTCTATTTTTACTTTGTTAATAATATTTTAAATATTATTATTAGGCTGTTTTTTGATTTTTTACATTATATGTTACAGTAAAGTCATGGTAACATAGTTATCAAGGTACTATGTGAAATTTTATGAAAAGTTTATCTACATGGTAATTAAGGACTTAAAAATCTTAGTTTAGGTAGAGACTTTTACACAAACAGTAGAAGCGTATCATCCGACGCTTCATCAAAGCCAAATCATTATGGGTTTGGTAGACAAGATTGGCCATAGATTCTTTGGACTACAGCCTAAAAATAGAAACGAAATGGGTGGAGGTTTATTTGGAAATTTGTTGAAAGGTATGTATTGTTGTTTTTGAAGCTTTTTGGCCATAAATGTTAGCTTTGTTACCTAAAGTTTTAAAATTTTAGTTTTTCATTTTTTTGAAAATATTTTAGGTAATTTAAAGCGGTTTATGTGATGTTTTTACGTATAAACAGGCCTATTAACACTATTTAAAAGCTTATATTTATATAAAAAACGACATATTAGTTAACTTATCTACTTTAACTTGCTTTATCTTCCAGGTTTGGTATCAAAGAAACCGGAATCAGAGACCGAAAACCAGTCGATTTCATTGGACTTTGGAGATGATCCTTTAATCACAACATACAACTTCAATCTAGACCAATTTCACGCCGCATTCCAAGCTGCTGAAGCCTTGAATCCACCTCAGTCAATGCAAGATCCAGAGTTTTCTGATGCGATGGAGGAGCAGCCGGAGCCTCCACCACCGGCTTCTGATGCTCAAGGTGATATGGATCTGGACTAAGGAGTTGATCAAGGTGGTATGGATTTGGATTGAGAAGTTGATTTTACTTTTAATTTGATTGTGAAAAGGTTAATATTATTTAAGAGTGTAGTATATTGTTATAAGCTAATTAAGATTTAAAGTAAATTTTTTTGTTTTAACCACGTAATATCAATATTTATTTCAACCAATGATATTTAAGCTTATTTTTTAGTTATTGCCACTATTATTTGTCTACATTTGATATCTAAACGCCTTTCTCATGTAATACAGTGAAACTTATTTAGTATGACTCTCAGTAGTATGACACATTCTTTATAATGACGGCTACTTGACTGCCTTTTGTAATAGAACATCTATCAAAACTTACCTGATTAGTATGATACCTTGGTTATAAGGACAAGTTTGGACTAATCCCTTGAGTGTCATACTAAAGATCTTTGACTGTATATGATCGATCATATGATTCAGATCAGCGGGGTCCGAGTTATGTTAGTAGATGACTATGTTGTTTATGTTAGAGTTCGAGAATTTTTGGAGGTTTAACTTAAGAAAAGGCACTAAACTATGACATATAAAGGATATTTTTTGATTATTGTTTAAAGTGTGATGTTAAAGTAGATGTTCGCTGTTAGTTTGTAAAGTAAAGTCTAATCTTGTTATTAAAAAGGTAAAATTTAGCTATGATTGTGCCTTTGAAAGTTTATATTATTAGCTATTTATAGTAATATGGAGTTGTTTTAAACTTATAAAAAATAAAGTTTGTCATAACCTAATATTGAGAGTTTTTTTTAGATTTGCTATGCGATTTTAGGATATTTAGCTATTATCAAGCAAACTAAGCTACCATTAACAAACAATTCATATAAAATTGTGAAAGTTTTATAATTTATGACTCAAAAAAGCCTTAGCCGAAGTGATTAAAGTGCATTCGAGACGAAACTAACTTTCCTCTCCACCTTGAGGTAATCAATTAATTAGAAGCGAGTTTTTATCGACGAAATCCGTCGATGTTTAGACTCAATGGACAGGTCATTTTCATCCACGAACTTTAGCGTTTTCACTTTTCTTTATTTGAAACTTTTAATTGATTTAATTGGAATTTTAATTTTAGTGGGGGATTTTTAAATTAAGGTGGAAGTGTTGATACTAATATTTTTTGAAATTTACATGCCATTGTTCAGTTTTTAAAATTATTTTGTGCTGCTGTAATTACTGTAGCTTTAGCTTTGGAAACGGTTTTTTTATTTCAACTGACACTTTCAATCAAATTAAGGTTACTTACAGTAATCAACTTTCAAAAAAAAACGTTTTTTTTTTGAAAATTGAATTTTTCATTAAAATCTTGAAGCTTGCCTTTCGTATTTTTGTGAAAACATTTAATTTGCGATTAAACTCGTTAACAAGCTTGTAACAAAAAAGATCAACTAAATATTGATATAGGTTGCTTCCTCTTGAATGCGATGGAAAGTGAGTTAAAGAACCGGTTGAGAAGTGAAAAACAAGTGAGTGATATGAAAAGTAAATTGTATTAAAAACTTATATAAACTATAGTGTTTTATAGGAAGGGCTACAGAAATACATATTATAGGTCAAAAAATATATAGAACAGACGAAAATTGATGTAAATAGACGTATTTTTGAAAAAGGCCAAAAAGTTGAAAGAAAAATTTTAAAAACAACATATTTGGCTGTTTCTGTATACTTTTTGACCTGTTTTCTAATATTATATTCAAAACTAGCATCTGCTTCTAAACTTTAGCTCACGTTTGCCTTGGTGACAATATGCACCATATGCACAATATTCAGCATCATCATTGTACCATACTTGTTCAGTCAGGTTCACAACTTGGACATTGAAGTTGAGGTGGGTTTTCGATCTTTTCAAACTTATTTTTGAGTTTTGAAGGCATTTTTTTATTATTAGGTTGGTCTGTTGTGGATTTCCGTTCCAAAATTTTCTAAAGTTTATTATAAACTATATTTTGTTCTAATTATTGTTGTTAATCAATTTAATGAAATTCAGAAAATTTTGAAACCGAAATCCATAACCGGTCAACCTAATATTACTTGTTAGGTTATATCAAAATCATACGTTGAGGTATCTTTAAATTGAGACTGAAGTGTAGAGTAACAGTATATCTTGACTTTACTGTAGTAACACATTGTACCGTAAAAAGATTTTAAAGTCACATTTTATTGTATCAAAACCTTACAGGACCACCACAGTTTCTGTGTAGAACGTACTACACTTTTGGTACGAGAGATCACTGAGATTGAAGAGAGTACAGCAAGAAGAAAGCGCCAGTACGATGATAATGTAGATTCTGGTAATTCAGAAGGAAACGGAGACAAGAAATCTTGTTGTTCTTGCAAACAAGGACCACCTGGCCCACCAGGACCAGTTGGAGAGGATGGAGATGACGGTAAAGTTTGGGTTTGGTAATCATATTGGTGTAGGTATACCTACTTTAAATGGTCGTACCTTTTTTTGTAGGTTGTTTCAGTCCTTGCTATTTTGAGAATTGATAGAAAAGATACTGTAGCTTGTGTATAAGGTAAAATAGACGGTGCTTTATTACCTAACTGTAAGGTACGGTGATTTAAAGAAGTTGTTTTTAGTTTAAGCTAGATTAATATAAGTATACCTACCCAAAATACCCATAAATTTGTTAAACATAGAGATACTACCTTGAAACTTTATATAGTGGTAGAAAACTAATTTATACACCATAATATTGCTATCATACGATCAAAACGAACATTATTTTCAAGATACGAAACCTAAAAGACATCAATTCACATATTTTTAGGCCCAGACGGAGTAGAAGGAGTGAAAGGCTCAGCAGGCGCACCATCCTCAGCTCCATCTGATTTGAACATCGATTGGTGTTTCGATTGCCCAGATGCACCAGCTGGACCACCAGGACTAATGGGAGTGAAAGGCCGGCCAGGAAATCCTGGAAAACATGGAGAATATGGCAAAAACGGTGAACCTGGCCAGAGGGGTGAGGTTGGACCAGTTGGACCGGCTGGTGAGTTTGATATTTAAAATTTTTTAAAAATTATTTAAATTCAATTTTTTAATTTTTAATTTTAAAATTTTGAATTTTCAGGACCACCAGGCCCAGTCGGCTACCCAGGACCACCTGGAGAGCCAGGAAAGTCGGTTGAAGTAGTAATAACTGGTGAACCAGGACCACCCGGACCTCCCGGAGTGCCAGGAGTTAAAGGTTCGTTTGGCCTACCTGGTCTGCGAGGTCCAGATGGTCCACCAGGACCACCTGGCGATGGTCCCGGACCATCCGGACCACCAGGAAATGACGGTACCACTGGTTTGCAAGGTGATAATGGAGCTAATGGTGCTGAAGGAAGCTGTGATCATTGTCCTCCACCTGTTTTGGAGACTGGATTCTAAATGGGATTTGGAATATTGTTTTATCATTCTTAAGATGTACTTTTAGCTATGTTCCTTGCATTATAATATGTCAAATACGAAAGTACTTTCAAAATAAAACTATGTATGTATATAATGTGCAATTGCAAATTTTCAATGGTATATTGAGCGAAAACTGTTGTAATTACCTCATCTTTTTGTAATTGAATCTGTTTTTTTTAAACTCCCGTGATCAATATAACCCCATGGATACCTATACAATCCTATAACTATCTTAACTGTAATATCATACATATCTTTATCACCAATAAACACAACCCAGAAATCATTTTTTAGTAGTTCGATCGAAGCTTCTTCAGAGATTATTAATTTTATTAAAGAAAAAGTTCAAAAAACAATAAGTTTCAGTAAGTCAATGAGAGAATGTAATAAGAGAAAAAATACATATACAGTTTGAAAAGACATCAAAAATACGATAAGGAGAGGCTGTGTGGCAAACTCTACATCCAAAAAATATGACAAATACTGTTAAGTTTGGAAAGAATGAAAAACACCATCTGTAAACAGAAAAAACAAGTAGAAAACAACTTCCTTAAAATTCAATATATAAAGTCCATGTAAACCATCTTCGATTAAAGTACAAGGCACTTCACCTTTAAAATTCAATATATGGGATCTTTCCAAAATAAAACGCCCTTTATAAACCATAATCAAACTGCAAAAACTTCAGTATTCATCATCTTTTCCACAGAACAGTTAATATCCTCCATCGTATCCGTTAAACACTTCAATATTCACCTTCTTTACAACAGAATCTCCAATCCATCTACAACAAAATCTCCAATTCCTCTACATAATCCAACAGATTCTGATTGACACCGTTCTCCAAATCCTTCAGAACCTCCAACATTGCCAACTTCATCGGCTTTTCCAGCTCTGAGTTCTTGTTGAGCAACTTTTTCGCGACTAAACCAAAGGTTTGGCAGTCGTTGCGATAAGAAGCTTCAAGCTCCTTCTTCTTCAACTCGGCTTTCGATCTGAATACATCTGGCAATTTGGAGAGTTTGGATTTGATCAGTTCATCCTGTTTGGAAGCGAGTGATGATAACTGAAGACCGTTTGATGAGGATTCCTTTGGAGGTTCGTATTTTAGTTCTTGGACTGTTTGGCGCTGAAAATGACAAGAAATTAGCTAAAGATTAAAAATTTTAGGTATAACATCAACTTTTGAACAACAAAGTGCATTATTAACATAAAAAAATTGTAAAATACTACTTTTAAATAACAAAAAGCAGACATTTCTTTCAACACCTTTTTCTTGTCCTTCATAACATTATATTAGACCGTAAGTAACCAAATTTCCGTTAAATACCTAAAAACTCAAACAACAAAATTCAAAAAAGCTTACTCTGATCAATGCCATCGTATCAGTCATCGGTCGATCGTCAAGGACAGATGGGCATCGTTCTACTGCAATTTGTTTGATCACTTTGTGCTCTGGAGATGGCCGGACTTCTCGTTCTGGTTCCACTGGTTTTTCAACCTAAAAATATTCAACTTTATGTACTATAAAATTATTTTAGGTAATTTTACTTACACAAACCATAACCTCACACACACCGCACGATAACACACAATTCACACTTGCAAAATAAAAAAAAGATTGATCTTATTTTAGACTGGAAGGATTATAACGTCCGTATTTTACTATATAAACGAAATATACACTCCTTTTTGAAAAACAAATTTAATGTTAACATATATACAAATTTATAAAATGTCAAATCTTTACAATAAGTCTCATTATACCTCTGAATTTTGACCTTTCTTTCCATCTACACCTTTAATTTTGATTGTTCTGATGTATTTGGACATTTGTTCTTCATCCATGTCGCTCATGCCTGCGTCAGTAAAACATATAGTCGTTTTTTCGCCACCGTTTCCTGATTGGTCACTTTGCCTCAAGCTGAAATATTCGCTTTGGGAGTCACATTCGTCTTCTTTTTTTTTTTCTTCTACAGATTCCTTGTCTGTTTCATTACTTGCATTTTGAGAATGCTTTTTCTTATCATTATTAAGTTCACATTCTTCTTCATATCGATCTTCATCTCCTGAAGCAATACTTTGTTCGTCTTTGTCATCCTCAGATTCGTCTTTTTCGACGTCTTGATCTTCAGTAGCGTTTTCTGCTTCTTCATAGTTTTCTTGGTCTTCGTACTCCGTATTTTCATCGTCAAATTCTTGTTCCTCTTCACATTCATTATATTCATCTTCATATTCATTACCTTCTTCATCACTTTCTTGACATTCAACTTCGTTTTCCTCTTCCTCTTCTTCATAGTCATATTCTTCTTGGTCTTCGTATTCATGACCTTGCTCTTCACTTTCGCTTTCAATAATTAATTCCTCTTCCTCTTCACTTTCAGTAATTACATCCTCTTCATCTTCACTTTCAGTAACTACTTCCTCTTCATCCTCACTTTCAGTAACTACTTCCAATTCATATTCATTACCTCCTTCTTCTTCATCTTCGTATTCATTATCATATTCTTGATCATCGTATCCATTACTATCTTCTTCCTCGTCCTCATACTCGTCATCTTCTTCCCTGTTCTCAAAATAATACGTCCCCTGACATTCACTATCATCTGTCTCCCAAAATGCGTAATCCGCTTTCCCAACCTCGTTTCCGCCTTCATCGTCTGCTTCGTTATCAGATTCCACAAAGACATCGTCACTCTCATCTGAATCATCTTTTCTCCTTTCGTTTCCATATTCCGAGCTTGTACTATCCTTTGGTCTGCCACATAGTTGTTTAGTCTGCTCAAATACTGCAGCCCAGCCTTTCTTTTCTGCTGGTTTGTCGAGTGAAGGCTTCTTTTCTACTGGTTCGTCAAGGGGTGGCTTTTTTGATTCTGTTTTCTCTTCGATTATCTTTGTCCTTCTTTCTTCTTTGTCGTGAGTTTTCTCTTCGATTCTCTTGGCTTTTCTTTCTCCTTTAGCCTGCTTTTTCCTTTCCATGTTCTTAGCCCTTCTTTCTCCTTTGGCCTGCTTCGTAGCCTCAACCAATCTCTCATTTTCCGTGTTCAACTCCCGATAAAAGTCTTTCTTCGGTTTTAAGCAAAAACACGTTTCAGCCTTCTTCGTCAACATTTTGTCATAATCGTTGGAGACATAGACTTCAATTCTGTAGTCCTTGCTGTTTGAGGGCAACATGTAATCATGTGAATCATCGACATCTGAAGTTGCAGAGTCTTCTCCATGTGAATGTGAACCATCTTCTTCAGGAGAAGCCTTAGTATCGTCTCCATTTGCTTTAGAATCTACCTCACCATTCTCCTCCTTTTTGCCAAATTTAAATGGACACTTTTGGTGATATTCATCAACCGCTTTCAAGGACTTTCTCCACATATCATCCCACGATATGTCGGTAATTCGTCCCATTCCATCATTGTAGCTGACAGTTTTGGGTCCCCAGTTAGTGTAGCGATCGTGCACTGTGTATGGGTATCGTCTACCGTGAAACGCGCCATCGTTCTCGTGGTATTCGTAAATGGCTTTGATTTCACGGACTTTATGAGCCAATCCAGCGACTTGATTGTAGTCTGGTCGATTGGATTCAGATTGGCCATAGGTTCCAGATTGATCTGACATAGCTGCAGCAAAGGTTCCGGCTTCATTTGAATTCGAAATGAAGGCATCTCCACCAACGTTTGAGGTTTGAAAACCAAATGGTTGAGTCGGTGCAAAATCATTTTGAATTGAATTTAAATTCTTGAAGCCGTTTCCAAATGGTTTCGATTTTGGGTATTCGCATCCAAATGGCTCCAGTTTGGTAATATCAAAGGGTGGGCTTTCTGATGACTCCGGACTTAGCGGTGGCTTTGATGAATCTTTGTTCAGAGGTGGCTTTGACAAATCTCTAACTGGCGATGGCTTCAAAAAGTCCGGTAATGAAGCCTTGTTTCTAGTACCAGTATTAGCCAAAGCATCAGGTCGTAAACGCATATTATTGTAAGCATCCAAAGACGAATTGGCAGCATAAGCATAAGGTGGCGGTGATGAAAGATCATAGCCATATGGTAGCGAAGGTGGTGCTCCATAAGTTTGTAACGGTGGATTACCGTAACCGCCAGATCTTGATGATCGATTACCATAATCACCAGCATTTGGATGTTCATCTCCATAAACATCATTCGGTGAAGGTTGATGATAATAGACAGGTGATTGAGGTGCGTTAACATAGCCAGCAGATGCTAAAGGTGAGCCACCAAAGCGAGTATTATTCAAAAGGAATCGACCATAATCATCAGCTTCATGCACCGTATCAAAGTAAGGTCTAGCATTAAAAGGTGAATATGGTTGTTGTGGACCTTCTGAAGCTCGAAAACCAGTTGCTCCAGGGTATTGATAGCCAGGTGCTGAATATTCTTGATGAAAATTTTGGAACTTTGAATGTTCTGGTAGTTTTCCGTTGTCCTTTTTACTTCTTATTCCAGGAGTATAAGTATTTGAAGCAGATGTGTATGTCTTCGAATTTAAAGTGTGCGCCTTCAAGGCTGAGGTATACAAAGTTGAAGATGGAGTACTTAAGTTTGACTTCGAAATCTGGAATTTTGAACCCGGTAATCTTGTAGTTGCTTGTGTTTTTCCATTATCTTCTGCAAACTTTAGCTTCTGACTGCTCCCTCTCTCCTTTTCATTCGATGTACGACAGTTTAAAATAAGAATATCATCTTCCAGTATCTCTTCAAAAATATTAAAGACCAAATTCTGTGAAATTCCATAATTTTCTGGCTTCAATTCCCAATTGTCATCGCTCTATAAACAAAATACGATGTTTGATGAAAGTTTTCGGGAATTACAGTGAATTTTTGGTTGTTTTATGTTGATTTTGATGTCGTTCTCAGCTTTTTCTTCAATATTAGTGTAGGATGTTGAATATTATCGCCATTTTTTAAATTATAATACGATTAAAAGATCTTCTAGACTACAACCATATATGCTTTTCGTTTTAAACATAATATAGGTTCAGACACCACAACATTCCAAAAAATATCACTTTGGTTAAGAAATAGGTAGAAACTACAATACAAGGTCAAAGTTAAATAAAAAATCAAATTCTGTGTATTTTTTAGCTAAATTAGCATAAAACACACAAATAAACATTAAAAAACTTGTACAAACACAAAACTGCAAACCACACCAAAAGCAACATAAAACACACAAACACACCTTCACAATTTAGTTTTACACACAACCACATGAACCCACCTTTGAATTAGCTTCTTCGTTATCTGAAATCTCCATAACTTCAGCCGTAGACTGTGCCTCAACTTTTTTGGCCGGTGATATAGCTTGTGATGTTGGTTGGGAAGATTTATGAGAATCTACATGAGACGAGTTATGAGTGGATTCGCTTGATGAAGAAGAGGAGGAGGATTCTCGACGACGTCTCTTTGGCTAAAAATGCAAACGGTAATATGTATTATGATCATAAACTGTTATAAAAGATCATTTTTAACAAAACATTGTCAAATTTTAATCAAAATTAACCAAAATAAATTATTTTTTGCAAAAAGTGGTGTTCTTGAGTAAAATACGTAACTTCAAATGCTTTCTAACATAAATTCCGCATAAAAATATATTTATAGTATATTACCTCGTCATCTTCACTTTCACTATCGCTTTTAGAATTCCTCCTTGATCTGGACCTTCTGTGTGTGTCTCGTCGTCTTACATCGTTACTCCTTTCTCCTCGTTCTAAACAAATAACAAAATAAAGAATAAACACTTGCCTTTAATGTGCGCTACGTAGCGACGAATATCTCTGTACCATGTCACTTCCAAATCGCATCCGAACAAACGGCCTTCAAAGTACCTAAAATAAGATTTATACATTAGATATCAAGACAATACAAGAAACAAAGTAAATCTTTTGTCGCATAAAGTACAAAAACTTACTTATCATAGCATTTAGCAGCATCTTCCTTTGAATCAAACCTAACTGCGACAAACAACTTGTCTCCTGTCGCTTTGTAAAAGTCGATAATACAAGGACCAATCTCATCTTGGAAATGATCTCTAAAACACAAACATCCACATAAAACGTCACTAAACTAGACTGATAACATTAACCACATTATAACCTTTGTACAAAGGCCAAAACCATCAGAATCAGTCGAATATCAACGTAGATACGAGCGTTTTTCCACTAGCCATGTGTAATATAACCATGTATAATATTATCTCTTTTCTCAGTAAATTTAAATCCCAAAACAATAAAAACACTTTCGATAAAGGTAACCGCAACTTCAGGCAAAGTGTGCTATATTAAACCATACGAATTTAAATACTTTAAACTCTTGAAAACAACAATTATATTATTCTGAACCTCGAAACCTTACCGCAACTTGTCCCCAGTGATATCAGCGCGCAATCCACGGAAAAACAAGGCATGCTTGCTTTCTGGCACATCACGTTCATTCACTCGATCGTCCCGAAACTTGCCGCGATTCCCATTCCGACGATATCCATCACGATAATTCTGACGATCGTAATACGGCATTCTAAGTTAATACAATAAAAATTAAGAGCAAGTAAAAGGTAGGTTTTATAGGTTAATGTATAGCAAGATAAAAATCGAAACTCCGATGAATAGATAGCCAAACGAGGAAGGAATGTTTTCGGAAAAAAATAAAAAAGAAAATAACGCGGTCCTCCAAAAAAAGAGTCATTAACTTAATGGTATATTTAGTGCATCTAAAGTAAAATTAAAAAATATTGTTTTTTAATTGTTACACTGTCTATAGAAATCTCTATAAACTAATCTTTGCTTTACACCATTAATTGTAAATATTGTCGAAATGACGGATTTTCTGGAAAACTGAAGTACGTTAAGATTTTATGCTTTTTCATCATAACATTTGGTAAAAATAAAGGAATAAATATATAATAGTTATTTTCACTAGTCATATATGTTAGGAAAAGTTATTTTTATTGTCCCGAAAGTTTAAGTTTATCCGTCAAGATGACGGATTTTCTAGAGAAAACAAGAATTCGGCAAAGCATTGCGGATTAAAATCTAGGTAATACATAAGATAAGGCGAATAAGTGTATGCATATGTCTTAACATAAGAAAAGACGTTGAAAAGTGAATACGAATTCAATTTTATGTAGGTATAGGTATCAAATTTCTCTTTATAACACCTGTATTCTACATTTTCGAAGAAAAAAACGAAAAAATTATATTTTCAAACTGTTTAATAATACTATCACGCCCTTTTCTTGTGATAATACTAAACATTAAAGCAACATTTCACAAAAGAGGAAGGTTTTTGAAGTGACTAACACTTTTTCGAAGGGATGTGTTATAGGTGTTACCTTGAAAACACCATAGCAACGCTGATAAACTTGCACCTGTTTGTTGTTGACAATACGATAAGTTTTTTTACATTTGTTACAACTAGACTGGCTTTAAAAGTAATTGTGTTTGAGTAATATTGATGGTAAGATAGCTATGTTAAAGTATGTAGCATTAGTATTGTTAATTGCAGCTAAATTATATTAAGTAATCAGCTGATAAATAAGAAGTACTTTATCAAGGAAGTGTGTAAATGTCTATATTTTATTATAAAGCATAAATATGTCAATTTGAAAGTCTTTCAAATAAAATATAATTAAATACATTGCACAAGGATGATAACATCGTATTTTACATAGTCTTTGCCACTTTTTTTCTAAAAATATCTATCAAAATTGGCCAAAAACTTTTCAACAACACTATTTACCTCTATCACATCAAAAGCTATAAAAATATAAATTATGTAAACATCACAATCATAAACAGCTACTACAACATGATACAGTCCGAGTTTCAAACTCCAGATTCGCCTTTTCGCAGCGGTTTCAGAAGTTTCTTTGGTTTGTTCAAGATCTTGAATATCTTTTGTTTCAACGTTAGTTTATCCACAATAACTACAGCTTTTGCTTCTTCCTCATGTTCTACTTCCTCTTCTGGGTCATCTTCAGATTCTTCTGCATACGGAGATAAATCAGGTTCAGCGTCAGGCAGAAATGAGTGTCGTTTAGTTGAAAAAGCTTTTTCTTGCTGAAAAGAGGATTGTATTAATGGCAGATTATAATAACTTTAAAATTTTGATGAATTTAAAATTTTTTATAAGCCCCCCCCCCTATAGCTTTTACACCGCCCTATAACAATTTGGTAAACCGGTGTAGGCCAACCATCATCCCCAACTATTACTGCAAATAACTGACAACAAATATAACAAACCTTGATCATTTCCTGGATATTCTCCTCGACAGTTGGATGAATGTAATCCTCGAAAACCTTGACAAACTCTGGCAACTTTAGCCCACTCAATTGACTTTCAATATTTTCTTCTTCATTGGTCACATTACTTGTGTCACTTGAGTTTTCTTCACACATTTTTTGTAAAATCTCTTGAGTAATTTCAGGTACAACAACATTGCTCTTCTTTTTCCTTCGCTTTAATGGTACTACAGCAGCTAGATCAACGACTTTTCGTCGCCAATGTAGTAGAGAGTTTAACATTGAAGATACTGAGTCTGTGCTACGCTGCGTTTTGCAGCTGACCTTGCGAGTTGTTTCTAGGGCTAAAATATATATTGATATAGGTGAAAAACGTAAGTGTTACTAACTTAAAAACAACTTTAAGTTGCAATTTGAAGCTTATGACCTTCAAATGTTAAAAATTCAATTTTTCTCAAAGTTCAAAAATCAAAAAACTTACTATTCGAGACAATAGAAATCTTATGTGTAACATCATCTTCGTTTTTGCCCATTTTTCCATCATCAAACTCGTTAAAATTGTCCAAAGACGGATCAGACCGATGTTTCCTAACCTTATTTTCCATTTTATTCAATCCATTCAAGTTACTACTCGTTGCAGATTGTGGAATAAAGGTTGGAGCACTGATCTTAGGTTTGATCATGTTGGTAAAGCGATCTTCAATACTAAATTTGTGGAATGTGTCTGATGAATTTTGAAAATCATCATCGCTGAGATCGTCGAGTTTCCTTTCTTCTTGTAAATTGTAAAGCTCTGTCACTACTGGCTCCATCTTATATGGTACACCTGCTTTTTTGGCTCCCAATACGGCTAAACGATGATTGTCGTTTTGGTAGTCGTATACCTAAAACACGCAGAAGAATTTCCTTTTTGCAATTATGTGAATAAAATTAAAAAAAAAATATTTGCAAGACTTTAAACTTTTTACTTCTAATTTTAGCCAATAAAATAATTTACATGTATTAAGCTGTACGGTAGAAGTACTGTAACTCAGAAACTATAACATATTTTAAACTATTCTTCAACAATTAGTTGAAAAACAAATTTATCTATCTTCCACTAAAATTTCACGCTTCTACCTAAACATTAAAGTAAGTTATACTTAATTCAGTAAAGTATTCATCAACATGAATAATATCAAACATTCTCTTCCTACAAAAACTGTCATTCGGCCTCAAACTAACCCTAAAAACTAAACAAAATAACAGATAAAAACTCACCGGCAATCCGTCCATACATTGCGCGACATATTTGATAAAACGCCTGAACTCCAGCTCCTGATCATCAGGCCGAACGTCTTGAAGAGGAAAAACATCATCACTAAAGTACTCCTTAATTTGCTTTTTAACTTTGTTTTTTGAAGACGTCTTCTTCTTAGAAAAAGTAAAACTAAAGCCATTCGAGAAACTGTTAGAATGTTGAGCTAGTTCAGCTTCAACATCAGATGCTTCACCTTCTTCTTGAATCTAAAATACGTAACTTAATGTTTTAACCTAATTTTAGTTAGATAAAGAAGGAAATACTCTACACATCAAAAAGAAATCAAATTATTTTAGAAACATACCATTTGAAAGCCATAGTGCGACATTGTTTTAAGTTTCTTTTAAGAAATCTAGTTGAAATGCCAAAAAATTAATGTTGTTTGAATGAATAACAACTGTTAACCAATTAAATGCAGTAGATTATATTGAGACATGTCTGTTTCACAAATTTAAAAACCTTTTACAATATAAAATTGTAAGGTTTGTACAAAAAAGTTATAAATTTCAGCTCCTTTCGAAAAAAAAGAATTATTTTCCGGAAATTCAATAAGAATGAAGGCGGACTGCAACTATTGAGCGAAAACAAATACTTTTGAAACTGTAGCTCACAGTAAACGTTCTGAATCCTTCGGTGTACTATTCTTTATTTATTTTGATATAGACTGGTTAATTTTTATGTGTCAGCTGAATTTCAGTTACATTTTAGTTTATCGGCCTATCAAACTTTAAACATGTTTATTGTATCATTTTGAGCTCTAAATTAGTAAAATACGTGGTGGTCTACGTTTTTTTTTGAAAAATTGTGTTAACCTTAATAAGTTAAAGTATTTGCTTAAGCGTTTCTTATATTTAAGCAATGTTTTAACTTTAAAAATTTCAAAAATAATGAAATTTTGTTGCCAAGAGTGATGGAGAAGGTATAATGACAACATATTGCCTTATCAGTTGGAAAATAATAAACGAAGGGTTGGCCCTTGGACGTTTTAAGCTTGGACAGATGATAAGAGGCCTTTTTGATAATGGAACCGAGTGTTTGATGAGTTTGGGGCCTTATTTCCAAGTTTCGTAGTTGTAAACTGTTATATTACTTTAGTTTTTTGCTATTTTAAGGATTATATTCTTGATTTTTTTCATTTTTATGAAACTTGTTGTTTCTTTTGTTGATTATTGATTTATATTTTTATGATTTGTTTAATAAAAATTTCAACATTTTATTAAAATTGGGCAAAAACATCAATTATTACCTAAACAAACATCATTTTGTGCCTAAAAAGCGTCCTTTTTTGCATAAAACATCAATTTTTAATGCTCAAACTTACAATACTGTCTAAAACATGTCATAACACTTTATTGTTTTAATTACATTGCCTATAACACAAAAAAAACTGTTTGAGAGAACCGGTTACGGTCTGTGTGATTGAATTACGAGTTGACTGTAGGCCGAAGACCCTTGATTTTTGTGTTTTTCTCTTCTCTTCCAATGGCCTTTAATCGGTCCTACGAGTCCCTAAAGTGCGTTTACCAAGGCAGCCGGCTGTCGCTCAAATCATGAAAAACTTTGGTTTGAGAGTTAGAGTTTTGTAGGGGTTGGCTTTTATTAGGGTATGGGCTGAGTGTTTTGTAAGGTTTGCCCTGAATAGCGTAGAATAGACAGTTTTGTATAGGTGATCAAAAAAACTACTGTAAGTTTATAGGTAAAGAGGAATATACTCACCTCCCAGTCAAGTGCAAAGACTGTGAATCGACTGCCTGCGGCCATAAAAGTCAAAGTTACCTTTCTAGAAAAAGAACAGTAATTTTACATTACAGAGTATACTTAAAATTTTTTTTTGTATTTGAAACTTTATGTAAAATACGTCTTCATTCATTTTCGAAGTAAAGTTTTAAACGTTCATAACGTGCCATAGGGGCTTAGTTGGTAGTTAAAAAAATTTTTTTTTGAAATTGTAGGTTAATAAGCTTTCAAATAAGCTTAGACTAGGATCTTATCATTGGAATTTGTTGTGACTAGGCCTGAAAAGAAGCCCAATTGGCTCGGCTTAGCCATCTTCTGCTTAGCTCGGCTCTGGCTCAGCCTGGCCTTCAGGAAGTTTGAGAAGAGCCGGCTGAAAAATTGGAACCGGTTCGGCCCCTTTACAGGTCTAGTTGTGGCCTTATTCTAACCAAAATTTTATAAGAAATCAAATTTCAGGATTTTTGTAAAATACAGAGTGTATTTCTTAATTTATATCACACTTAGTGTCACCTAAACCTAGTCATTCTTCAAACTTCACATCCCACCAACCCCAAATTCCACCTCCGAAATTTCAAAACCGTAACTTTGGTAAACAGTTCATGGCCATTGGAGTCGGTCGCAGCCTTTTTCGGCGACAAATCGAACCTTGTGAGTTGTGTAAACGGGGTGGAGGGGCTGTGATTAGGGCCTGTGTGATGGGCCTCTTCCCCCTTGCTGTAAACACATTTTTGGGTAAAAGCGAATGGAGGGCTTTGCGACGGCCTTAAGTTACTGTTTTCCCTTCCAATACAGTTCATGCGCATTGTAAAAGTTTTTGTTTTCAGCGGATTCTGGGCTTGAGTTGAGGGTTTTGGGGGTAGAAGGGGTTTGAGTTGAGAGGTTGGAGGGTAGAAAGGGCTTGAAGTCAGGGTTTGGGGGGGGGGGGAATCGTGAATTGAGGGTTTTGAAAATAAAAAGACTTGAGGGCTTGGGTGTGGAAATGGCTTGAATGGAAAATTTGAGGGGGGGGGGGATGTTGGAAAGCACTTGGCGTCAGGGTTTGATAATGAAAAAGATTTGAATTGAGATTTGAGGGGAGGATAGAAAGAGGTTGACTTGTGGGTTTTAGGGGTGGTAAGGGCTTGGTTGGAAGGTTTGGGGTCAGAAAGCGTTTTGAATTGAAAGTTTTGGAGGTGGAAATGGCATGGTTTAAGGTTTATACTGTAGTTTGTAGCTTAAAGTGTTATAATTTACAAAGCATAGGGTAGACGCTCAAGCAGTCCTGGCATAACGTATGGCAGGGTGAGGGGACGGGGATGACTATTTTTTTCTAATATTGTTTGAAAACCTAGAATTATCAATGAAGGCCAAGTTCAAGTTCAAAAGCCAAATTTTTTTCAAAAAATTTTTTGCAAACTTTTCAATCAAAATTTGAAAATTTAAATTTTAAAAATTTTTTGAAAATTCTGGCAACTTCAAATCATGGATCAAAGCCAATGTTTTTATTCGAATGTCCCATTAAACCGAGCGTTTCAAGCCCATTCCGTAGTCTTTTGATCTCGAAATTTCAATCAGAATCCCCACTGTGAAGTCGCTTTGACCAGAAACCGGTAAATCCGATTTGCAAAAACATTTTAATGGCATCGCGCAAAACCCTTCGTGGTTGAAAAGGGGTTTGGAAGATAAATTAGGCCAGTTGAAGGGCATATTTTTTAGAAATTTTGAATTTATGAAATTTAAAATTTTTAAAATTTTAAATTTTGAACTCATATTCTTTATACCTTCCTACCATGCTTCTCCAGGTCAATTTCCTTTAATTCAAACAATAAAAACCCGCCAAAACCGCCAAAGGTCCATCCCTACTATAATATAATTGGTGTCCACTTGAGCCTCAAGGCCATTTCGAGCAGCGATCTGACCTGTCGCTGCCAACCTGTCGCCCATTCCAATGCAATAGCCCGCAAATGGCCTTGATTGCCAGCTGGGCCGCGGCGAAGAGCATGGGACAAATTTTGGACGAAACTTGAGGTTTTGTAAAAACAAGGTTGAGATTGGGACAGGTTGAGAGGTAAAAGGCTTGAGATTAATATGAAGAAGCACAGGAATAAATACAGTAATGAAAATGGAAATGGGAAAATAAAAACATTGTAAAAAGGGTAGGGTAAGGCAGGGCAAAGGCATGACGAAAGCAGGGCGAGGGCAGGGAAAAAGCAAGGCAAGGCAAGGCAGAGCTTTTATAAACATGCATTTTAACATTAACTTTGCTTTTAAAAGCTATTAAACAGCTTTGACTTCACTATCTTTAATTTTTTCTTCATATATACTACCTTTAAGTTTTATATTTACCTCACCTCCTTTTTACATTAAACCCCTTAACGTCTCCAGAACACCTCATCCACCCCCAACTCATCCCGAAAGTTTTTGTTCTCAAGCCGCTGCCATCAGAACAATACCTTTCATTTCCTGTGTGCCGAAAGGGTATGGCCAAAGTGCGGAAACGTCGCGCAATCGCTTATTATTCCAATATGACTTTCTTGAGAACTTGGTGGCGGCTAGACCTGAAAAGAGGTCTAGTAGGCCTGATTTAGGACTGGGCTGAAAAATTTGGCCTGGCCGAACTTTTTAAGGGTCTATTTGCAACTTTTGACAAATTATTATTTTGTAATTTGGTGTTTTTTGAAGTTTACTTATGGGTGAGGGGGTGGTAATTTTTTTAGAAAAATTTTGATGGAGCAGGTCAAGTTTTTCGGTAAAATACGACAATTGGACTACGAGTTTTTTTACATTTTTCTTGCCAAAATAAGTCTTGTGACCTCAAAACCTAAATATTTGCCCAAAAATGTGTTACCATTATAATACAGTATTTGCACTGATTTACCACAATGTCCATAAACATTTTTTGCCAAGGACAATTAGTGCGCGACAACAAATCGGATCGCTACTTTTCAATTTCGAGGCCACAATCCCGGAAATTGGGATTGTTTGCACGACCTTGACTAGATTAACGCTCGGATTGGGAAAGCAAAATTGATCTGGCCAAATAAAAAAATATTAAAGACATTGAGTTTGGCCAATAGAAAACGTCAGTAGAAGAGTAAGGTCAGCATACGGGGTAAGGCAAAAGTAGGATGCTTTAGGGTAGAGGCATAAGCGTAGGAGTGCATAAAGACTACTGTACAAAAAGCCGTGTAAGGTAGAGCTATCGTAGGCCTAGGGTTAGGCTAAGATAGATTTTGATTAGGGCATCGTAAGGCACGGCAATCTCGTGCAAGGTAAATGCAAGGCAAAGGCAGGGGAAAGGCAGGCAAAAGGCAGGGCAAAGGCAAGGCAGAACAAAGGCAGGGTAAAGGCAAGGCAAGGCAAGGCAAGGAAAGTGTTTTATCAACATATATTTTTATTTTCAAACTTGAAGCTTCTAATTGCGCTCCCAACGCTTAATATTGCTTTTATGCCACTTTCAATTGATTGGCCAAAACATTTTTACCAATTACCCCCCCCCCTCCTTTAAAAATCTTGACCTTTTTACTATTGTCTTGTCGAATATGGTGTTCGGCCTTGACTGAGGTTTATTGCGCTCTCCACAGGTCCCCA